GTGAGCAACACTGTCAGGAATATATACACATCTCCTCTCCTCTCCTCTCCTCTCCTCTCCTCTCCTCTCCTCTCCCCAAAACTTCCCTTCCCAAACTGACTCTGCACAATCTGTTTTTTCCCTCCCTAACTCTGTTACCCCACGGCACTGCCACCATCACCCTGGGTCCATCCCAGAGTGGTGGCACCGGCTCTCCTGGGCTCTTCTGGTCCCCCAGAAGCCACCCCTGTCCCCCCCCTGCCAGGACCTGCAGAGCCAGTGTCCCCCTGACCCTTTTTGTCTTGCAGGGATGGCCGAGAGCGGCCAGGGCCCGGCTGAGGGGGGGCTGAGGGGTGCCCCTGGCAGCACCCAGGTGAGCCACAGCTCTGGGGGGTGTGGGGGCACTGCCAGGGGGCTGGGGGTGGCTGGGCAGGGCTCTCATGGCTGAGCTCACAGTGCTTTCATCTGCTATTAATCTGATTTTTTTTTTTTAAACCACAAGTGTTGTGTTTTCTCTGCATTTTGCACCCCTAGCACACTGTGGGAGAGGGAGGCTGCTGTGACCCCCCCTCTTCCTGCTCCTGCCCCATTTCCAAGCCCCCTGAGCAGCTCCTGCAGGTCCTTCTCAAGGGGTGGAAGCCCCCAAGTTTCCACCTGCTGAAGAATTCGGTGTAAACTGGAAGAAATGGGCAGGGCTTGAGCTCTGACACAGCACTGGGAATTCCCCTTGGAGGGTCCTGGGGGGTCCTTGCACCCCCAGGTGGAGGCACAGCCCTGGGCAGGGGCTGAGCCCAGGTCCTGGTCCTGCCCCACAGGAGGTGGCTGAGCCCAGGGAGAATGAGGGGAGCCAGGTCCTGCAAGCCACCCCAAGCCTGGGCAGCGTGGAGGACATGTATGAGCTGCTGGAGAGGCTGGGCAGGTGAGGGGGATCTGGGCAGGTGAGGAGGATCTGGGTAGGTGAGGGGGATCTGGGCAGGTGAGGGGGACCTGGGCAGGTGAGGGGGATTCAGGCAGGTGAGGGGGATTCAGGCAGGTGAGGGAGATTCGGGCAGGTGAGGGGATCTGGGCAGGTGAGGAGGTCTGGGCAGGTGAACAGGACCCACCACTGCTGAGCAGGTTTCAGGCAGGTGAACACAGAGCTCTGACACAGCACTGGGAATTCCCCTTGGAGGGTCCTGGGGGGTCCTTGCACCCCCAGGTGGAGGCACAGCCCTGGGCAGGGGCTGAGCCCAGGTCCTGGTCCTGCCCCACAGGAGGTGGCTGAGCCCAGGGAGAATGAGGGGAGCCAGGTCCTGCAAGCCACCCCAAGCCTGGGCAGCGTGGAGGACATGTATGAGCTGCTGGAGAGGCTGGGCAGGTGAGGGGGATCTGGGCAGGTGAGGAGGATCTGGGTAGGTGAGGGGGATCTGGGCAGGTGAGGGGGACCTGGGCAGGTGAGGGGGATTCAGGCAGGTGAGGGGGATTTGGGCAGGTGAGGGGATCTGGGCAGGTGAGGAGGTCTGGGCAGGTGAACAGGACCCACCACTGCTGAGCAGGTTTCAGGCAGGTGAACACAGAGCAGGCAGAAATCCAGGCAGGTGAGCAGGGATCTGGGCAGGTGAGCAGGAATTCATGCAGGTAAGGAAGAATCTGGGCAGGTGAGGGGGATCTGGGCAGGTGAGGGGGGAGCCTGGAGTGGGATCTGGGCAGGTGAGTGGGACCCAGGCAGGTGAGTGGGACCCAGGCAGGAGAGTGGGATCCAGGCAGGTGAATGGGATGAGGGCAGGTGAGTGGGATCTGGGCAGGTGAGCAGGACCCACCACAGGTGAGCAGGTCGCAGGCAGGTGAACACAGAGATCCAGGCAGGTGAACACAGGCAGGGATCCCAGCTCCAGCGGAGCCCCAGGGCTGCCCAGGGATTTCTGGGGTGTTCCCCCGGCCCGGGGTCAGCCCAGCCGTGCCCCAGCCCAGCTCTTGCTGCAGCGGCCACTTCGGCGTGGTGAGGCTCTGCCGCCAGCGCAGCACCGGCGCCTTCTACGCCGCCAAATTCGTGAAGATGCGGCGGGGCCGGGGCGGCCGCCCGGGCGCGGAGCGGGCTCAGGTGGAACGGGAAGTCTCCATCCTCCGCCAGCTCCGCCACCCCAACATCATCCAGCTCCACCAGCTCTTCGCCAGCACGGCCGAGGTGGTGCTCGTCCTGGAGCTGTGAGTGGGGCCCCGGTGGGTGGGGGTGGCGGGGGGGACACCCCCTTTTTGTGCCACGTGTTGGAGGTGGCCGAGCTCCGCTGTCCCCACCCTGCGCAGGATCCGTGGTGGGGAGCTCTTTGACTTCATTGCGGAGAAGGAGATGCTGTCGGAGGAGGAGGCCATCGAGTTCCTGGGGCAGATCCTGTGCGGGGTGGAGTATCTGCACGCTCGCCTCATCGCTCACTTCGACCTCAAGGTGCCCATGGGGACCCCCCATCCTCACTCCCTGAGGATCCAAGGAGTGCCAGAGCCCTGCTCCCACTCTTCTCAGCTTCCCAAGGTGCTGCTGTGACCCCCATCACCCCTCAGTCACCTCAGCCCTGTCCCCACAGCCTGAGAACATCATGCTGCAGGAGAAGGATGTCCCCAAGCCCTGGATCAAGATCATTGACTTTGGGCTGGCCCAGCAGCTGGAGGATGGCATCACCTACAAGAGCCTCTGTGGGACCCCCCAGTACATCGGTACGGGGCTGGCACATCCCTGGGGGTCCCTGCACTGCTGGGCTGCTCAGCCAGGGCTGGGGATGGGACCCCCAGGCTTGCAGGTGTGCTCCTGTCCCCCTGATGTCCCGCCCTGGCTCTGTGTTTGCCCCCAGCTCCTGAAGTGATCAATTATGAGCCGCTGAGCCCCGCAACCGACATGTGGTGAGGAGTCAGGACCTGGGGGGGCACAACAGGCTGAGCTGGTGGGTGGGTGGGACCCCCCTGGGTGCCACAGGGCATGGGGGGCTCCTGGGAGGGCAGCACGTGACCCCCACCTCTGCATTTCAGGAGCATCGGAGTCATCACCTACATTCTGTGAGTGTGGGGCAATGCTCTCTGTGGCTGGGGGAAACTGAGGCACAGGGACACTGTGGGTGCTGGGGTGGCCGAGCCGGTGCTGTCCTGGCACTCAGTAGCTCTGTTGTGTCCCCACAGGCTCAGTGGCCTGTCCCCCTTCCAGGGTGAGACGGATGCTGAGACCCTCTCCAAGGTTGTGGCTGGTGCCTACGAGTTTGAGGAGCGCTGCTTCAGCCAGACCTCCGAGATGGCCAAGGACTTCATCCGCCAGCTGCTGGTGAAGGAGCCAGAGTGAGGCCCCATCCCCATCCCTTCCGTCTCCTTCCCATCTCTGCCCCCACCTCCACCTTCAACATCCAAATCCCATCTTCATCATCCCCATCCCCATCTCCATCTCATCCTGGTCCCAACCTCATCTTCATCCCCATCCCCACCTCCATCATCCCCATCTCTCTTTCTATTTGCATCCTATTGCTGTCCCCGTCCCCATCCCTATCTCCCCCACTCCCATCCCCATCCTACCCCTGTTCCCATCCCATCCCATTCCATCCCATCCCATCCCATCCCATCCCATCCCCATCCTTTCCCATTCCTATCTCCATCCTATCCCTGTTCCCAACCCCATTCCATCCCCTTCCCCATTCCCATCTCATCTCCATGCCACTGCCCTCACCATCTCATCCCACCCTTATCCCATCTCCATCCTGATCCCATCCCCAATCTCCATTCCCATTCCTATTCCATTTCCATCCTCATCACCATCCCATCCCTATCCCTATCCCTATCCCCATCCCATCCCATCCCATCCCATCCCATCCCATCCCATCCCATCCCATCCCATCCCATCCTCATTCCCATCTCCATCTCCATCTCCGTCTCCGTCTCCATCCCTAACCCATCCCTATCTCCATCCCATCTCTATTTCCACCTTCATCTCATCCACATCTCCATCCCCACCATCTCCACGTCCATCTGGTTCCCTTCTCTATCCCCACCAGCACCATCCTGACCCTGACCCTGACCCTGACCCTGAGCCCAACCCTGACCCTCACCCTGACCCTAACCCTGACCCTGACCCTAACCCTAATCCTAACCCTAGCCCTAACCCTAACCTTGACCCTGACCCTCACCCTGACCCTGGCCAAATTTGGTTAGCCTTTCTTTTTTACCCATGTGCTTATAGAATCCCTTCTAGCTATTCTTCATATCCATTCCCATCTCCATCTCCATCTCCGTCTCCGTCTCCATCCCTAACCCATCCCTATCTCCATCCCATCTCTATTTCCACCTTCATCTCATCCACATCTCCATCCCCACCATCTCCACGTCCATCTGGTTCCCTTCTCTATCCCCACCAGCACCATCCTGACCCTGACCCTGACCCTGACCCTGAGCCCAACCCTGACCCTCACCCTGACCCTAACCCTGACCCTGACCCTAACCCTAATCCTAACCCTAGCCCTAACCCTAACCTTGACCCTGACCCTCACCCTGACCCTGGCCACCTCCCCATCCCCGGGTGGGTGTGTGGGGCTGGGACCCCCGACCCCAACGCCTCCCTTTGTGCCGCAGGCGCCGCATGAGCGCGGCCGAGTGCCTGGTCCACCCCTGGATCAAGGTGAGAGGCACAGGCAGGGCCTGCCAGACCCTGGCAGTGGGGTGGGGACACGGTGCCAGTCTCGGTGCCATGTCCTTGCCCCCGCAGCCCCTGAGCAGGAAGCAGGCGCTGAGCCGGAGCCGTTCCTCCATCAACATGAGAAACTTCCGCAAGTTCAACGCCCGGAGGAAGTGGAAGGTGCCCGGCTGTGGGGTCCCAGCAGCCCTGAGTCCCCTGGGGAGCCCCCACTGTGGTGAGGGGGGGTAGAGCTGGGGAGGGACCCTCACCTCGGACCCCCTCCCTTCCTGTCCCCCTGTAGCTCTCCTACAACACTGTGTCCGCCTGCAACCGGCTGTGCCGCACGAGGAGGGAGGATGAGGAGCTGGTGAGCCCCCAGATCCCACCCAGCATGGGCTGGGGAGGCGGGAGAAGGGATTTGGGGGGGTCTCTCAGTTTGTCTCTATGGCAGTACCCTCTGTGCTGCAGACCCCCTGTTTTGGGCATCCCCCCTATTGCTGGGGTGAGGCGAGGGAAGTGTAGTGGGGGGCTTGGCCAGCGATGGGGGCATCGGGGTGCTGTGAGTGAGGGGTACCCTCTCCTCTGGGGGAAGTCCTGTCGCTGCCCTGCAGCCCCCCTGTGCCCCCAGCGCTGCTGTGAGAGCGACCAAGAGGTGGAGAGAAGCCCCCACACCGCTGTGCTGCGCCGGCAGAGAAGCAGCTCCTCCTGAGCTCCTCCCAAAAAAGACAGGACCTCTGCGAGAGGAGCCTTGGGGGTCCCCCCGTGGCCCCATCCAAGGGGCAGGGGCACTGTCCAGTCCCAGAGCTCGTAGTTCTGTGGAGTTGGAGGGTCACTGGAGCATCAGCACCCCGCTCCTGCCCCCAGGGCTGGGACCCTCCTCCCTGCTTTGTCCTAATGAGAAAAATAAATGTCACCTCCTCCTCCTCCTCTATCCTCTTCTCCTGCTTCTCCTTCCCCTTGAGGGTGGCTCGTCACAGCCAGGCAGGTGCTGAGTGCCTGCAGCTTCCTCCCTCACTGCAGGGCTGCTGTTCTGTGGGGAGCCCAAAGCCGTGGGCTCCTGGCACCCCAGATTCACCCTGCGAGGCAGAGTCACCCTTACGTTGTCCCTTCTGTGCTGTTCCATGGGTTGCTGGCTGCTTTCCTGAAGTCCCCCCTCCAGAGAAACCTGGAACCTCCCGCTCTGGCTGGGGAAACTGAGGCAAGAGGCAGTTCTTCCTTCCCACCCACTGCGGCGCGGGGGGGCCGCCCTGTTTTCCCCCTCTCTATTTCCCAAACATGCCCTGGCCCTGGCCCTGACAGTTGTCAGGCTAAATATTTTGTGTGCGGCAGCCGAAAACAAAAGTGAAGGGGCCGCAGGGTCCGGGCAGGGTCCGTGGGCCCCCCCCAGTCCCGGCGCTCCCCGGGTACCGGCCGGACACGGCGAGCGGCACCGGACACGGTGCGGCAGAGCCCGAGTGCGGCGGGGACGGGGCCCTGGGGGTCCCGCTCGAGGATGGGGCCGAGGATGGGGGTGATGTTGCTGGTCCTTGGCCACCTCCCAGTGCCCCCCGTGTGGGCTCCCAACGAAAGTAAGTGTATGGGAGTGGGGTGGGGAGTGCTTGCTTTGGGGGGCAGTTTTGGGGCGGGGGCTGCCTGTGCTCAGGGGTCTGCAAGAGACAAACCCCGAGGCAAAGCTCTTGGGGTGTTCCCTGAGTTTGCCCCCCAATGCTGCAGACCCCCCGTGCTGGGCAGGAGGGGCAGAGTGTAGCAGCCCCCTACTGCTGGGATGGGATGAGGGGAGTGGAGTGGGGGGCTTGGCCGGAGATGGGTCCCTCAGCCCCACCGGGATGGTGGGAAATTGTCACAGGAGTTGAGAGCGCTGCTCCCTGCGCAGCTGCTGGGGTGGGAAAAGTTGGGGAGGGGGTGCCATGGTGGGGAGGGGGCAGCCGTGGGTCCTGGGTCTTATGGCCATGACAGGGGACAGCTGGGGGTATGAGGAGGGTCTGTCATTTGTCCTGCCTTCCCCTCTCCCTATCACCCGTGCCTCAGTTTCTCCAGTCACCGAGGGGCTGTGCTGGGGGATGGGAGCGATGGAGGAAGAGGATGAAGCAGCAAGAGCTGCTCAAGGGACACACGTCACTGTGCCTGCTCCCTCTGGGACCCCTGTCCTCTGTCTGTGCTCCCAGGGGCACGGGGGACCCCCTCCCCTTACAGGGGGACTGTGCAGGGTCAGGGAGGTGATGGTGGCAGCAGGGGTGGTAACCCTCACAGGGGGACAGGGGGACCCTCCTGTCCTCAGAGGGGACAGGGCTCCCAGTGAGGGGCTGAACCTGGGGAGAGGGGCTATGGGCAGCTGCCAGAGCCACAGTGCCCACGGGGCCGCAGTGCCCACGGGGCCACAGTGCCCACGGTTCATGGGTGACACCAAGAGGGGAAAATCGCCACCAAACATGAGGTCACAAGGACATGGCCATGAGCCCGGGCTGGCAGCAGGCAGACGAGGGGTGAACCATGCACCTGATCCCCTCCAGGACCTGGCCCTGGTTTCTGGCTGGGGATGCTGTCAGTGGGAAGCTCTGTGCTTAGTCTGGCTCTTGCATCTGTGCCAGGATCAGGAAGAAGGAGGTGCTGGGGCTCATGGACATGGTGTCCATTTCTGGGTGGAAAAGCTCCAGGACAGCCAGTGTGGGGCTGGGGCAGTGCCACATGGACACCTGTGGTAGCCTTTCGTGCCCCATTACCTTTCTGGGGACGAGGGGGAGTTCATGGGGACAGCCCTGCTGGAGCTGCCACTCACTGGGTAACTGTGAGTGGGGAGATCTGTGAGCACCCACAGCTGCCCTGAAACTTGAGGAAGGAGAAAAGCTGTCTGCACCCCCAGACAGCTTCCCCCAGGGCTGGGACATGATTGTGGGGCCGACGTGGGGCAGGGCAGCCTGCCAGGCCTCGTTAGCATCGCTGCTGACGGACACGCCGTGCCCCGGAGAGCCGCGGCGTGTCGGCTGCTGCCAGAGCCGCTCGCGTCTCCAATTCCAGCCACGCTTGACAGGCAGCACCAGGATATTAAACTCCCCCCGAGCATCACCTGGGGGTCCCTGGGTGGGAGTGGGGGCAGCTGCCCCCTCCCTGCTGCTGCCCATGGGGTCCCCCTCTCGCCACCCCAGTCTGCGGCAGCATGGACATCCGCAACGACGTCTCCCAGCTGCGGAAGCTGGAGAACTGCTCCATCATCGAAGGCAACCTGCAGATCCTGCTGATGTTCACCACGGGCGCCGAGGACTTTCGGGGGCTCAGCTTCCCTCGCCTGCTCATGATCACAGAGTATCTGCTCCTTTTCCGCGTCTACGGGCTGGAGAGCCTGCGGGATCTCTTCCCCAACCTCTCCGTCATCCGCGGCACCAACCTCTTCTTCAGCTACGCCTTGGTCATCTTCGAGATGCCGCACCTGCGGGACGTGGGGCTGCACAGCCTGGGCCACATCCTCCGCGGTTCGGTGCGCATTGAGCGCAACCAGGAGCTCTGCCACCTCTCCACCATCGACTGGGGGCTGCTGCTGCCCGACGGCGGGGACAGCACCTACATCGTCGGCAATAAGTTGGCTGAAGAGTGTGCCGACGTCTGCCCGGGCATCCTGGATGTGGAGAAGCCGTGTGTGCAGACCAGCGTCAACGGACAGCTGGATTATCGCTGCTGGACCTCCAGCTACTGCCAGAAAGGTGGGTGCTGCTGGCACGGGGTCTGGTTGTGCTGCTTTTCTGGGATGGTGCTGTTTGCACTGTGGGGCAAACGGGGAGGGTGCTGGAGGAGGCTGGTGGGGCCACCTGGGAATGGCAGAGCCGGCGTGTGGCCGTGGCTCCCCTGCTGCTGGGAGTGTGCTGTGCAGGCAGCACGGTGGGGTAACCAGATCCGTGCTGTATCATCCTCCGAGGAGAGGCCAGCTCCTGGCTGCTGTGTTTTCCCAGCGGCGAGGTAAATACAGGCCCCTCCTGAGCTCGTTTTCTGTAAACAGGAGAGCTGGTAATGAAATATGTACTATAAACACAGATCCTTATCAGGGCTGCAACCTCAGCTGTGGCCCCGGTCTGGCTGCACTGGGCAGATGGGGTTCAGCATGGGCTGAGCCCCACCTTGTCCATCCATCTGTCCTGCTGTCCCTCCATGCAGCTCCCCATCCAGCCATCCAGCTGCTCACTCAGCCACCCATCAACCCACCTGCCTGGCCAGCCTCACTCATCACACAGCTGTCCATCCGTTTACTCCATCCCTTTGGGCACCCCTCCATCAGTGCTGCCATGCCTCCATCCACTTCTCCATCAATCCATCCCTGTATTCCTCACTGCATACCTGCATCCCTCCCTTTCTCCCTCCATTCTTGCATGCCCACATCCCAGCATCCCTCCTTCTGTCCCTGCATCACATTTCTCTCTTCATTCCACCATCCCTCACTCCATCCCTTCATTCCTCCATCACCAAATCCACCCCCATGTCCCTCCTTCCCTACATCCCTTCATCCCACCATCCATCACTCCATCCCTGCATCACATTCCTCCCTTCATCCCACCATCCATTCCTCCCTCCATCCCTGCATTCCTCCATCATCAAATCCATCCCCACATCCCTCCCTGCATCCCTTCATCCCACCATCCATTCCTCCCTCCATCCCTGCATTCCTCTATCATTGAATCCTTCCCTCCCTGCATCCCTTCATCCCCCCATCCCTCCCTCCATCTATCTCTCTACCCTACCCTCCCTCCTGTTTTCCCCGAGCCCTGGAGGATGCCAGCAGCCCCCCGAGCCCATCCCACCAGTCTCCTCTCCCCCCTGACCCCAATCCCAAGCCGTGCAGCCCGAGGCTGGGCTCCGTGCCCACGCGCCGTGTCTCCCCTCTCAGTGTGCCCGTGCGGCGCGGGCTCGGCGTGCACGGCAGCGGGCGAGTGCTGCCACGCCGAGTGCCTGGGGGGCTGCGGCCGCCCCCACGACAGACGGGCCTGCGTCGCCTGCCGCCACTTCCACTTCAACGGGCACTGCCTGCCCTCGTGCCCGCCCCGCACCTACGAGTACGAGGGCTGGCGCTGCGTCACCGCCGAGTACTGCGCCAGCCTCCGCAAGGTCTCCGACAACCCCCGCGACGCCTCCAAGTTCGTCATCCACCAGCGGCAGTGCCTGTCCGAGTGTCCCTCGGGATACACCAGGAACGAGAGCAGGTGGGGGTGTCCCCGGTGCCCCAGCACGGGTACAGCGGTGGCGCGCTGGCTGGCTCATGTCCTGTCTCCATTACCCTGCCCGCAGCATGTTCTGCCACAAGTGTGAGGGGCTGTGTCCCAAGGAGTGCAAGGTGGGCACCAAAACCATCGACTCGATGCAGGCGGCGCAGGAGCTGGGGGGCTGCACCCTCATCGAGGGGAACCTCATCCTCAACATCCGCCGGGGCTGTGAGTGCCTGGCAAACCCACCCTGGGTGGGAGAGCTGCTGTGGAGGGCAGGGGGTGGAGGAAGGGGGGTGGTTTGCCTTGCAGAGTGAATTAATGGGGAGGTGCCCTTCTCCCTGAGCTCACACAGTGTGTCATTCCCAGATAATCTGGCCTCAGAGCTGCAGAGTAGCCTGGGGCTCATTGAGACCATCACGGGCTTCTTGAAGATCAAGCACTCCTTTGCCCTCGTCTCCTTGTCCTTCTTCAAGAACCTAAAACTGATCCGCGGTGACTCCATGGTGGATGGGTGAGGATGGTGTGGGTTTGGGGGGGACATGTGGCCCTGAAGGTTCCCTTGCCCACTGCCTCATCCACACCTCCTCCCCCAGGAATTACACCCTGTACGTCCTGGACAACCAGAACCTGCAGCAGCTCTGGGACTGGAGCCACCACATCCTCTCCATCCCCGTGGGCAAGATGTACTTTGCATTCAATCCCAAGCTGTGCCTGGCCGAGAT